AWWAAAWTMWWRAMYCYTTTACCTTGAATTGATGTTCTCACTGAATCAAGAAAACATAAGTAAATCAGTACAAAGAAAATCACTATCTTTAAATTCGTCCACATGGCAATTCTCTGAAAAAGATTGCCTTGTATCTATAGCTCGTTAAAAGCAATTATTAGGCAATTACAAAATTAGCAGTTATGACGTGATCAAAGAACAAATTTGACGTCAAAGATCAAATGTAACGTCATTTGGTACTAGTTTCCAGTCTCCTCACTTTGCTGTGCTTGCGCAAGTCATATGAATTTATATATCTGATTGCATTTTTTTATAATTTGATTATGATTTGATTGCCATTTTATGGATTCAGTTTGTTTCACAATGAACGAGTGTGACTATTCATTTTCCTAAATTTCAGCATTAAAAATTTATATCAGAAAACAGAATCAGAAAGCTGAAGTCCTTCATATTGAGTATGAATTTTTTTTAAGTTGGGAAACCACACAAGAACTAAGGTGCAATATTCCAGCGAAAAAAAAATTGAGTCCAAATTTGTTTGCTTTTCACAGTTCTGTCGTCAAAATGTCTTTCCGCGATAAAGATAATGATATTCATATGATACTTGCTATCCAAACTGAAGTTCAATTTGTCATTTTGAGAAAATAAATCATTACTAACATGACATCTAGCGTAAGCCATGTTTACAGAAATTTAATAATCTTAAGTCAAAAGGTGATGAACTTCACTGTAAATCATTCCTAATCCAATCAAATTTGCGCCCGCGCTTTTGGTCAGTCGCCCTGATGGCTTATTATTTTATATTTCTTTTTAAAAGGACGGAACTCTGRAGAAGAAGGTCTTAATTAAGGCGAAGGTAATCTGGAGACACGGCTTGCCAGAGTGCTCTGTGCTCGACAACGCTACACACCAATACCTCTACAGATTGAATTATTCTCTGGGAAGATCATCTCTAATCTTAAAAGCTATAGTACAAACAGTGAAACTACAATACTTTAAAAAGCTGCTTTACTCTTCCTTTGGTGTTAGATTTAAGGTAAGCTAGCCTCAGCTTACATTCGACCTTCTGTCAGATTTAAAAAAAAAGTTTTCTGGAAACTTGGTTTTGGTTCACGATAAACTATCTACCGCAATTCTTCTCACTTCTACCCGTTATTTTGGCTAAAATTCTGAAAAATATCAGCCATTTTGAAGGTTAAAGTTCTATCTATTTAAATAGAATCAAATCTATCTTTAATCAAAATTGCTTCAGGCCACGTAACGAAATATTTCTCAGTCGAAGATCAAGAAATGTTCTGCTTATAGTAATAATATTGTGTGCATGTTTGAACCAATGCGGGCTTCCAAAAATGGAGAATTCCTGAAAAGAAAAAACATCAAACTACAAAAATCTTTTTTTGATTAAAAATATCGGGATGGGGACATCTATAATAAGAAAATGAAAATTGACTTATGTCGGCCCGTCTATACTTGGGTGTGTTTTGTCCATAGAAGCGAAAAACATGAATTCTAGGATTTTCTAAAACATTTATTATTCAAAAGAATTTATTTTTCATTTTATCAACAGATAGTACTTAGTAAAAGTGCACTTAGTTATTGATAAATGACATAAATGCTCGAGGGTATAGATAAGATTATTAATTTTAATCACTGGCCATAGCAAAACTAAACTTTCTGCAACAAAAACATTTCCAATGAGGATTCAGTACGTGCAGTTCTAATTTGAAAGTCAAAGTTCTAAAGATCGTATTTGGACATTTCATGTACAAATGTTACAGAGACTCTTGAAACCCGACTCTATTCCTTAACACAATAATACTGAAGAGCTTGGCCAGCGATTTTCATTACTTCAATTAAAATTTCATTAAATTTGTTACCGACTTTGTTAATTTTGCCMCACAATACGTCGATTTCGCCATTTGTCTTTTTGTCACGACAAACTGCTTGAGACAAAATCATCTTTAGGACATCTTCTGGACTTTATGATCTTCTATCGAGATTAATTACAGCGATAAAAACTCTGTATCAATTAATTCCAAATAAGATCTGTCTGCAACAATCTCTGCAAGTGCTCTCAAAGTCGGTAACAACTCAGAGATATTAATTAAACTTTTAATTGGAAATGCCATACGCAAGATACCCAACTGTTAAAAAAGGATATTGAAAAGGGAAGATATCAGTGGGTGCTTGAGAATACTTTTAAGTATTAAAAGGGTGGTGCGTGGAATTGAAGGTGTATTGCATAACATTTTTGAAGTAAGCTTGTATAAAG